TAAACTGTTCTACCGTAAAGTGCTAGACTTCACACGCAGGTCGTTGGGCTACTAAAGCAAGGGAGCCACCCCCTCCGCAAATGATCGAAATCGCGATGGCATGTCTTCGGATCATCCTCAGGGATGTTTCCCAGACCGTCGCCAATAGCCCATGGTGCTGCTCTAGTTTGACGTAAAAAAAGTACCTAACTTTTTGGAAAAACCTTGATCTTTTAATTAATTAATAAAATTTTATACCTTTCCGAAAAACCGAAGTTTTAAATATTTTTTCCAATTGCTAAAATTGTATTCAATTGAAAATTGAAAATTATTGCATCAGAAAGAAATTCACAATTCAAAATGTACTATTATTGACTCATTTTAAACATTTTCTTTTTGAATAAATGTATCTGTTTCTCATTTAGTAATTTTGAACTATTTCACACATTTCGAATTGTACAATAATATTTTTGTCAGAAGAATTTACCAGCAGTTTTGAAAACCTACAATTTCTGAATGATTTTCAGCCTTTAAAAACTTGCGATATATTTTCTTAACATCTATGATATAATGCCTGTAATTTTTATTTTAGTTTGAAATGAAATCAGTGCCCAATCTGCTACTTTTTGCCTAGTTACTACGGCACACTAATGAGTTGTATTTAAGCTACTACTCTCACTTTGCTATGTATAAATGCCTGTTCTTTGGGTAGCCTTGCAAGCATTACTTTCGAGCAAAAAAAAATATTTTAAAATTGAGAGAATGGAATTCATACGAATAAATTACCGTTCAGTGAAAAATCCAATACGATTGTTCGAAAAATGCATTCGGACCCTGTGATACGTTCATTATAAACAGTGGTTCATTGTATCCAAAATCTATGAAAGAAATTTATTTAGCATATTACGCTGGTATTGTTGGAAATAGTGACTACAATAGTGCATAATTTGATTTATAAATTATTATCCAGATAAATATGCAAATCATATCTTAAACAGCTTCTTTACTGCGGATTTCTTCCTATAACGAAATTTTCAATCAGAATGTTTAACATGGGAGTTTTTCATGGTTTTCCTCACCATGTAGCGCAAAATGCTTGTTAGTTCTATTAAAAAGTTCTCGACTAAGGCAAATTCCATTCAATACTTTATCCAGGAGTTCCTTTGTCTTCTTGATTGGGTACAAAATAACAAGGATACGGAAGTGAACATTAGTAATCGTAAACTCAAATTTGGGTCGGCAGTTCAATTACAGTTATAAAGTAAAGGTATTAAATCAGAGTGTTAAATGACATATAAATTATTCTTCGTACAACGAAGCAGTTGTCTTCCGTCTTCGCTCTTTTTGAAGATTTGTTACTTAAGTTAGGTTTCTTGGAAGTAAATTATTTATAACGAGTTAATGATAAAATCTGACATAATTTACAAATGCAGCAATTATTTTTTATTTACAAAAACATTTCATATTTTAAGTTCAATCTGTAGCACTCCAAAACCCAACTTTAGACTAGTGGCAGATTGAATCAGACTGCTTTAAATAAAATAAAATTATGTTCTTATTAATATATAAATATATATATATATATATATATATGTGTGTGTGTGTGTGTGTGTAACAAAAGCAAACTAAAAAACAAGCAGAAATGTTTAAAAAAAATGTCATATTATCTAATTAAAGAGAGGAGCATTCGAAGTAAAAAAAATATTAGAAAACGTTNAACGATCCATTCTTGCTAAAATGGAAGTCTTTTAAAAAGACTTGTTCACACTTTATGCTTGGTGCCTTTAATGTAATATTTAGGAATAAAAATATCTGTTATAAGAATCGTTGTAGTATTAATTTAGAAAGAATGAGTCCCCCTCTTCTAAGGAAGCACTTCCTGCAATTATTCAAATCATGTAAAAGATAGTTTCCTTCAATAACCCTTTCCTAATATAGACTATGCTCTAGAGTGAGAGGTTTCTCAGAAAAAGGGTTATTATTTTGCAAGAGAGATAAAACAATAAAAAATAAGAAGTCGCTGAAAGGTAAATAAACCGCTTGCACCCCTGTTTAGATTTTTTTCCCCTATCTATCCAAGTTGTCTGCAGCCTCAACTAGAAGCATGAAGTCTTTATTGCTTTTCAAGCATCTGGACTTAAGAAGGTGATTAGTGAGCCTTTATCGTCTTACCACCTCATCTTCACATCCTACTATCTTCCACGAATATTAATTTCTCTTCTCCTTGGTAATATGCTTCTTGTTATCTTCTGAAATCTTTCTTTTATAATCATACTTTGATTAAAACTAGTCAATTATTGGGTGACGCACGTAAGTTGTAAAATTTATAGAAATGTATAATTATAAATAATTGTTATTTCTGAATTTTTTTAAAATTATATTTGTGGTTTATGTATAATCATGGATAAGCAATTCTACCTTTTGTCCAGTACGAGACGCATGTAAATAATTAATATTTATGTTAAAAAAATATTTTATTAATATGAATATATTTAAGAAATATCTTTATGCCAAACATGAGTTTGTAAAATATGATTTATTCAGATTTATTAAAAAAACATGTTTAAAAATTATAATTTCTGATTGTTCCTCACGCATAGCCCGCATAGTTTTTGGCAACTAAGTGTTAAAAGTGTGTTTTCTATCTAAATTAATTAATAAAGAAGGACTTTATAGAATTTTTAAGCGGAAAACCAAAAATATTCTAATAGATTGAAACATAAAAGTTGTAAAATTTTCAATTTTCAATTTTACATACGTAAATAATTATAAAGATTTTCATTCATGTGTGTCGCCGTTTTATCTGATATTGTTCATTGTTTTCTTCTAGCTGACTTACAAACAATATAAATAAAACTGTCTTGCAGAAATATTTTTATTTTGAAATTTTCTCAGATTAATTTTTAATTTTTGATTTAATTATGAATTTATCTATGTATATATATATAAATTTTAAATTAAGGAAATTTAAATACATAAATTTTATATTCAAAATTCTTCTTTTTTAAGAGCTAATCGCCTTTTTATTTTGATTGATAGAATAAGTCGAATTACCTTAAATCTTTTAGCATTAGAGTGGAACAGTTGCCTTACTGAGAAAGAAAGTATGGTCAAAACTACCAGAATATGGTAAAATTTACCGTGTTTCTCACTCTATGGGAAAAACAAAGAACTTAACTATTAAATATCGTTTTAAAATGTGTGATAAAATGTGGTAAAATTGTTGCATAAAATTGCATAGTATTACTAGGTTAAATTTACTTTTCAGTTTAATTTTTTTCTAAATGTGTAGAAATAGGAGCTGTAGTTTCGAAAACCAGAATTTCCGTTAAGCCGTTACCATGTGATTGGAAAAATTACCAAATAGTTGATTTAAATACCGTATATTTTGGTTTTATAAATCTGAATTGTGTTTTTTACCAGTAATGCCTTTATCATACAGTGCGGTAATGTAACCCAATTTGTTTCTCTATGCATTCACCATCATAATTAATAAGGCGAAATCTAGCTACCATGTCTTCTGCCACCTCAAAGGGCTCTAAGTCGGGAAAATATGAAACAAAAGCTTAAAAATGTTGATTGACCAGCTTAGCCCTTAAAAGTTACCATTTCTCTTAACAGCAATGTATGTATTAAACAATACCGAATGTCAAATTAATTTAAATGAAGATTTTTGATTCTTATTATTTTTATTTAAGAAGTGCGTTTGATATTGAATATTTGGTGCTGTCAAGGTGGTAGAAAATATTGATTATTACTAACATTTCGTACATATAATGGTGAGCTGTGATAACTTTTTGGTGCTGCAGTAAGAGATTTTGCACAACTGAAAGCTTTTCCGCACTTCCCATAAAAGATTTAAGATACTTCAATTTTTTCAAGTTCCATATATTATTCGAAAGGAATCGTATAAGCTGTCTACATTTTCTTTACATTCACTATTAAATTTTATTTAAAAAATAATTAATAATTTAAAATAATTATAAAAATAATTTGATGTAAATAGATCAAGAATAGAAAATCTAAAATACGTTACAAACATAAATCAAAATAATTTTAGACATTATTTTTAATAATTTAATTTTGCCATTTAAACATCTAATTTTGTCATTTTTAATCATTTAATCGTTATTTAATTCTGTCACAAAGGATTACTCTGGTTACTTTAAAATATTATAGAAAATTTTTAAGCGAAGTATCATGTTTTTCTAGCCAGCTACGAAATTTATGTTTAACACATATTAATAACAGTTATGAATTTAACAAGCTACAAATAAGTTGAAAAATTAGGTAAAATAAGTCGGTATTGCATATATAAATAATGCTAAAACTGACCTTTTTTGTTGTACCTTAGCTAAGAAACTACTTGTATCGCTTTGGAAATTTTTGGGGATATTTGAGATTATATCAGTTATGCTTTGATAATGTTTTAGCGTTAACTGGAATACTTTTTAAATTGTAAAAGACTTTTGATGAAGCTTTTTAATGAGAAGTTCTCCATTCATAATTTAAAAAAAATTCTGCTAAAGATATGTATTAGCAGTTATAACAGTGTAAATGTGTATGCGTAAATATTTTGCGAAAAATATTTTGCGAAAAAAAAAACTGAAGCAATATTTAGATGATGAGAAAAGGTACATCGAAAAGGTCAGTTTTAGCATTATTGGTATATGCCCTACCGACGCCCCTAAAAGTTATTAAGGTGGGAAATTTTGTTAATAAAAATACAGTTCTGCATTTAACTATATAGTTTTTAAAATTTCTTTTGAGTTATTGTTAGCATTGAATCGAAATAAATATCTGACTTATTTTTAATCATAGAGTAATACTTATAAAAATTTAATCTATGTGTTGATAGTTTGTAAAACTAAGATAGATAATTGAATGTATTAAAACACCCTGAAGCCTCTTATCCACTTTCATTCTGCCAAGGGGTTAGGTTTCGTTCTAATCTTCTTGCGTCTTTTAACTTTCTTGATAAGGGTTCCTATGGTTACTGAGATAATTTAAGAAACTATAATACAGATTGAGATAATTTTCAGTATGTTACTTGAATTCAACTAGTGTTGTGATTGCAATATTTATTTGCGTGTGCATTTTATAAAAGTGCTTTCACCGTATTCTTAAGTGATTAAACATTTCTGTGTTTGAATAAAGGCTTGTTTTTGTTTAAAGTTTTAGTTCAATTTGTGCTTCATTATGGAACGATCCATTCTTGCTAAAATGGAAGCCATCGCTGATCGTTTGCAACCCCAAGCAAGGTAGGAACATTTAGTAATCATTTCCCATTTAATCATTAATTTTCAATTTTTTAGGGTCAGTTTAAGATTACTCATATTTTTAAAATGAAAAAATAAAGCTAATAAATAATGTGATTTTGGAAATTGATTTTCTAATAGAGTAATATTTATATACACGTGTTTGATATTCTAGACAGTTTCAATTCATATTTAGTCAATGCTTGTAAGTTCTACAACTAACACCGTAAAAAATTTCCGGATCAAATTGCGGTGTAAAATACCATATTTTGGGTATATCATGTGCAAAATTCATTTTAACGCAAAAACCATTTTATCGCAAAATCTTTATTTTACAGAAAATTATTAAACTATTATTTTAAAGTTATATTTATTTAATTAGAGTAATTTGATTAAAGTGATTATATGGTAAGAAATTAATGCAAAAATTACCGTTGATCAGATTATTTGTTCTGTAACATGCTCGTGTAAAAATGGATTTTACGATAAAATGTACCGCCACTCTGAGGGCTAGTACTTTTTTTCCGAAATTTAATCCGGATTTTTTTGCAGTGTAGGAAAATCTAAACATATTCTTGATAACTTTAAATTCTTAATTTTTTGAATTTTTTTCTGGACAGGTCATAGTTCAATTCTTATACATACAGGTAACTTTTTGAACATATTTTTACTTTTTCAAACCTAGGAATTAATACATGGGGATTCTTCAAAAATCGAAATATTTCAGATAAATTTTAGTTTTTAGCCATTTATAGTAAATTTATTGCACCTCTGATTGAACGCTAGGAATCATAGTTTCAATATTGAACTGTGGCTCGCAATGGCTCGCACTGACTGGTTACCATTTAATTACCACATCTGGCTCGCACCGACTACCGTGCTGACGTGAAATATCCTCAGTGGAAGACGGATCATGGGTTAGATTCCCCCTGTCGTCAGGCTAACCGTGGGAGGTTCTCAAGGTCTTCTTTTTCATGTAACACAAATGCGGGCTAGTTCCATCAAAAAGTGCTCCACGAAGGCAAAATTTGTCCCAAAACTCGATCCAGGAGTTCCCTTGTCTTCTGGATTAGGTTCAAAATTACAAGGTTACGGAGTTGAACATAAGTAGTCGTAAACCCTTAAAACTGGGTCGGCTGTTCTACGACGATTATAAAATAAAAATAAAATCGGACAATGTGAGCCGTGATGGTTCAGGGGATAGATCATTCGCGTTCCAATGAGGTGAACCGGGTTCGAATCCCTGCAATGACTGGTCGACACGAATCCATATCTGGCTTGCTCCGACCGCAGCTGACGTTAAATATCCTCAGTGGTAGACAGATCATGGGTTAGAGTCCCTTTGCCGTTAGGCTAAGCGTGGAATATTCTCTTGGTCTTCCTCTCTATGTAACGCAAATGCGGGTTAGTTCCATCGAAAAAGTTCTCCACGAAGGAAAAATTCCTACCAATACTTGGAGTTCGCATGTCTTCTGGATTGAGTTCAAAATTACAAGGCTACGGAATTGTATATATATAATATAGCTTAACCTTGCTTGCAAGCTTAAGCAAAACGAATTGGGAAGTGGCTTGTATTTAATTTCCACTTAAAGCATTAAGTATGTAAATAAAACCTAAATGATGTTATTTTGTACAAATTATAAATTAGTTTGCAATTTTTGTATTTGGAATATATTTAAAAAAGCGATTTGATCATTGACAATAAATATATTGCATATGTGAATATTATAATGGTAGAAATTTAATAGATGCAGATAATTTAGGTAACGTTTAAGTATGATAAGTTTTAAACTAGCTAAGCCAATACATACATAAACTTGTGCTGTTATATAATATATTCTGTAAAATGAACAACCGAATTTGATATTGTAAAATTAACAACTAACAAAATAAAATTTTTTGAAAAAAAAATGAAAAATAAAACCTTTAAAATAGCATTAATTTTGTATTATTTCATAGAATGAGATTGTTTTATATTGCATTTTAAGTTGTTGTATAATATTACGAATATTATATAAACGAAAGAAAATTTGCGTAAAAGAAAAGTATCTATGTTGGAATATTCTGTGTAATGGAAACCGAACAATGCTCAGAAGATTTGTTTCATTAGTTTAGCAGCAGTTTTTATTTTAATCTATAAGCAGAATACTAACAATATTATCAAATTTTTTTCGGCTTTCAGTGCCTCGTTGTTTATCGAAACATAGGCGGGATCTTATCGTTTCATGACACTTCCGTTAGCAGAAATGTACCGAGCACACAACTAACGCTGTTTATTTAGACTGAAATGCCTTATATTTTCCATCACCTTTTTTCCAAATCCATATTTATCTGGAGTTCTGCGTTCCCAAAATATAAATCGCGAAGTTTTCCGGATTGTGTTTGCAAAATATGCACATTAAATCGTTAAGACTTCTCGCTTTTTTAATTAATTTATCATCGTATACGTTTCTTCTAATATTATTTATCGCGAGCTTCTATTTCATTTACGAAATTTTTACTAAACTATTTACTTATCCACAGCTTTTTCATCAATTTAAAATTTATTTTGCTTTTTTTTATTGTTAAAATTAATATTTAATAAGCAGAACTTCTTTCAAAATAAATCAATGCTTCTTTTAACCGGTTTAGACCATTTCAGATTAAGGATAAATTATTTATTACTGTAAATTATTTTCATTATTTTATTTTACACCAACAATCATAAGAGATCACCTAATTATTTCAAACAAAATAATTAGGTTAGGTATGTAGATTTAGTTTTTCAATACTACTATCAGATGTTCATATCAATTCTCCTTTATTATTATGTTCACGGTTGCCTTTCATGGACAAAATTCTCACTAAAATATTTCTTATGTAATCACCTAATTATTTCAAACAAAATAATTAGGTTAGGTATGTAAATTTAGTTTTTCAACACTACTATCAGATGTTCATATCAACTATCCCTTATTATTAATATGTCCACAGTTTCCTTTCATGGACAAAATTCTTACTAAAATTTCTTTTTAGGTAAATTTGTTTTTTAATTTCAAAAATATTAATTTTATTTTGTTACATTTTGCATTATAATGAATACTTAATAACCGATATTCTTTTCAAAAATAGACTGTTTATGGTGTTAATTTGGAAACACGATGCACTATAAAAATTCCGGATCAAATTAGGGCAAAAAATTACCGGTACTCTGACTGCTGGTACTTTTTACAGTAAAATCCATTTTCTAATATACAGTGATTTTCACAGTAATAATTACCGTAAAATCACTGATTCGATCTAAATAAATATTACTCTGAAAATTACGGTATAATATTTTACGATAAAAATTGATTTACGTTAAAATTGATTTTACGTATGATGCACCTAAAGTGCCGGTGCTTTTTACCTTAATTTGGTCCGGAATTTTGTGTCAGAACTATGTCTAAAAGAGTGAGCTAATAAATTATGTCTATGTTTCTTTCTGTGATTTAATTTCATAGTTATTTTGAATGCCCACTAACATAGCAGTTTTCTTAAGTACTTCATTAGTTAATTATTTTAAACAAAATATTATCTAAAATGAATGTACTTACTCTGTAAGAAAATTTGCTATCTCAAAAAACCACCTATATTATTTTAAAAACAGAGAACTATTAAGTGATCTATTATTTAATAAGAATAGATGGTAATAATTTCAGGCTACTTGTAATATCCCCTAGTTAATTGTCGTTTTGTTCATAAGTTAATAGAATAGTTTATTAATTATTTTTAATAATTTGAGCTAGAATAATGAATCTAATTTAGTTGTTACTGAGTTTGTTCATTATGTTTCTCACTATAGCATAGCTTTTTAAGTACTAAATATAGCGTCTACCATAATTACGTATATTTATATTAAAGTCATCTCTTTTCTATTATTACAAATACATATCCAATTTTTCCTATTTTATGCTACTTATATATATAATTTATTTTCGACTCTTTTAATTTTATTAATTATTTTTTGTTTTTGATATTTTTTTCTAATAATTTGCTACATTTATTTTTCTTAAAACCTAATCAATATTTTCTATTCATATTTTTAAATTCTTTATTTCTGTATAAGTTTATAAAATTTAGCTAACAGTTAAAATATGAATAACAAATTAGAATTTTAAACAAATTAGCTCAACTGGAAAATGTCAAAAATAATTCATTTATTTAAATTGTTTATTTGGCGATCAAACTTTTGTCAAATTCCAGACAAACCATATGCAATTCTCAAAGTTGCAAGAAACTAAACGGCCTCCATCTTTATTTCAAAAATTCGGCGATCAAATAATTACAACAAAATTAAAAACTCTTTACATGTAATTCACTTGAACAATTCTACGTTAAAAGTTATGAAAATTCTTCAATCACAGAAATTAAACAACTTGTGTAATCAATGGAGTCTTTTAATTTATAACAATTTCCAAAGGTTTTAATGAACTTCTAACCCTGGCAATATCTCATTTTGGAAATAGCTTCAGGACTCAAAATCATCTAGTAGGGAGTTTTCAAACAAAGCAAGATGTTTCATTTTCAAATTCGTATTCATCAATCTTTGTTTGCATTCGCTATATTAGCATTTATTACTGAGACTTCTTGGAACTCATTACTCCCAAAAGTCTTTCCTCCCTTGGGCTACGATTTTGCCATCGAATTGTTCTCCGCAAAATTCTACCCCTCCAAAGAACATTTTCAAAATTATAATCCATAGCGTTTCCTAGCTATTAATGTTGAAAACCATTTTGAACGCATTATGTTACTGAGAAATCTTCATTACGGGGAGAGCGTAATTATTGAAAAATTAGTCCCCGTTTTTCCACAGAAATGAAAAAAATGCGATACCAAAGTAAATTTAATCAAACCTCCTGGTGGAAACCATTTTCCAAAAACTGTCCAATTTAGGAAGATTCGAATGAAATTTTAATCAAGTTGAGTAGTTGGATTTATGTTATATCGAATAAAACGCAGGAGGAAACACTTTTGCGTTATTT